AGTAACTACTATAGTTAGTAAATCAGCTTGTTTGTATACAGTTAAAAACAGATCTATTAGAAAACTATGAAAAATAGTATAGTCATCATGAGAGTCAGTTTCCAAGTCTTTTTTTTTTTTTTTTTTTTTTTTGTGGTTATCTTTGCTGTCTTTAAATCATAATTGAAACTTGACAGGTGTTTTTAAGTAGCAATTTCCTACCATACCTTAAAGGTTTGTAGTGTTCTGAATTCACTGCTGAAACTGATTTTCAGCAAAGTTCAGATTACTGACACTGGCAGGACTACAGCTGAATCCAGACTGATGGGTTCTACTTATTAGAGGAGCTTTCAAATATTTTTTTATTATTTTGTTAGCAGTTTAAAGTTGTCTGCTGTAGCTCACCCAGTAGCATAACGGCTATAGCCTGTCCTGAGGGCTAGTCTAGCACATTTGTTAAAAGTGCCTTCTGTCACATGTAGAAGTCTTGTGGGAAATTTCTACAAGTCAAACCCTATAAGTTAAAGACCGTGATCGACTTCTGGAGCTCCTTTCTGAGGTCTGCAATGCCACCTTGACAGAATTAAGTTGCTGGTCTCCTCGAGACTGCCTCACATGCTGTGGACCATCCCTGTTGTGTTCTAGCTAAGAAGGGAACTATCCACTTCTCCTTCTCATCATAACTTGTGCCAACTCTTCCCTCAAGTGGCGGTGGTGGGGATCAGGAGTGGCAGGATGCTGCAGTGAGGCAATTACTCTTGCTTCTTTAGACATACCTGACTTGGTTCTGTGTACTGGATGAGGAAAACCATTCAAGTTTGCAAGTCTCCCATCCCAAATTCGAAAAAGAGGGACTCTGGTCTGGTCTAGAGCAGTAGACTATCCGTTTACGTTAAAAAAATCGGATAAAGAAATGCTTACATACATTCCTTATTTACAGTTAAATCTAAAGAGTATGGCTTATGTAAGGCCTCAGGTTATTAAAAATCCTTCCACATGTTCCATCCTGTCCTGAATTAATCTCTATGGGAGCTTTGCTTCTGGGTCACATCTGTAGATGAAACAAGAGAATTGTCCTAAATGTCATTAAGTTTTTATTGCAGCTGCTTTAAAAGAAGAAAAAAACCAACAAACTCAAACAACAAAAAAGTGCAAACCTCGACCAAATCAGCACAAAATTCTAGCTTTATCCTCTTGTCTTTCTGAATCAACTCTTAATTCAGCTCAATATTAAACATGTATCATAAATAATGCCTATTGCTGTCTGGCTTTTCAGTTAAAACTTCATAAGCTTTTAATGAAAAAGTACTGAAATTACCCATTAATACTCAGTGTGTTAGCTTTCCCCCACGTTTCCCAACCTTGAGCAATCTGTCTTTTCAAGCTTGGAGAGTTCTGTCCCCGAGACACTGACACGGAAGTTAAAGTGTCTGTAAAGACAGAAAGGAATCAGCCAGGCTTTATAAGGTTCTGATTTATAGGGAGCCAGCGACTGATAAGTCTTTTGAGGTCAATCCAGTCTGTGCAGCGTGAGAAAATGAACAAGAAAATGGTTGAGTGTCTTAGGCCCCCCACTTCTGCTGAGGGCAGGATTGGTCTGTAATGTTGGTGCATCTATTAATGAAGTACTTAAAGTGTAGAGGATTGATAGTGTTCCCCATATTACTATCCCATTTCCTTGCCTTGTGCAAAGCAGTTTATCCTGCACATTACCCTCAACATATGCCCAGATCTTACCTGTATTTTGTGAGAAGCTTATCTCGAGACAGAGTGCTCAGCAAAGCACGTGGCCTTTAAAAAACACCCTGATATGTGGGAATAACTAGAATAACTAATGTCTGATCCTTGTATGTTTGTGTTGCATCCCCATCTGTTTGTTAACCTGCTTAGGATCTAGCATTACATCGTACTGAGGTAAGATATTCTTGCTGGGTCTGGGCAGCTACTGGTCCACATGTAGTGTACTTTGTCTCTATTACTTGTTCATTTTTATCATGGTCAAATCATCTGGGCGTTCCAGCAAAAGAACCACCTCGATTTTTCCCTTTGAGAGGAAAGGGAAAAGTTAGAGTGGTGGATCAGGAATGGAGCAGAAGCAGGGGCTGGAGGAGTACATATAGAGGAGCATCAGGATGGCTGAAATTTCACAGCAGCCTCTGCACCCCACTGAGCACCAGTGGCTCCCTCCTCCCTGCCCTGGGCTGCCGAGTCACTGCTCAGGGGCGCTTGGCTTTTGCCACTGAGCGATATACGACTTCAGGGGAATTTAGGCTGTCTGAGTACAGCCCTAGTTGGTGCTTTTTTTTAGTTTATTACTGAAAAGAAGCTTGCTACGATCGCCAGAGCTCACAGGCCTGTAGAAGCGTAGTGTGGTTTTGTGGTATTTTTTCATATGCTTCATGTTCAGCCAGTGCACTTCCAGTGATATGTTAAGAGCTGTTACCAGTCATATGTGTCCCTGTGCTTTTTGTAGCATCAGATTAGAGATGTAGTCTGGTTTGTTGGGATGTGCTGCGGGTGAGAAGTAAATTGAGTCTGATTTGTGGAAGGGTAGAGTTGAGCAGAGAGGATAGTTTAGAGGTTCATGAGATTCCAGGTTTTACCCCTAGTTATTTTGTTGCTTAATTGCTGTTTTTCTGAGTCTGTATCGCCTGTGGGACTAAAAAAATTGCTATGATCATAGGTGTCTGTTAGTAGCTTACATTACAGTGAGAATATTCCCTGCTTCATCAACATTCAGAGAAAATTCTGATGATCAGAGGAGCAAATGCACGATCTCAGAGTGTTTGGGCAGCGAGCACAGGGCGGTGGGAGTTAACCACAGTGACTGACCCTGCTGTGCTGCTCTCGGGTGTCTGCTGGAACAGGACAGGCCGGCGCTGGCTGTGGAGTCCTGTCCTCACACGCTGCGCAGCAGCCCTGGCCCACGCTGCTCAGTACTTGCTCTCTTTGGACCCAGTAACCCCTGCTTTTACTTAAGCATCTTGGCTTTTCTTTTCCATTGCCCTTACTTTGCCATGCTGGTTGCTTCCTCCTAGGGTTGTAGAGCTCTATTTTGTTTTAATGGCCGGAGCTGCATTTAAAAAAAAAATTAATTCTTCTAGTGAAACGTGACTTTCAAGAGGGTACTGGAGTTTTGACTCCTCAGTCACTGCTCGCAGAACAGAACTTGTTTTGGATTTGTTGGCATGTGTGTGGTATCTGAACATTTTCACAAATGTAATGCTGTATTATTTCCTTCTGAATCAAGACTTTGTGAAGAATCTCTAGGTGCTTGGTGAATGGCTTGGTCGCTTTTAACCTTCCCCTGAGGAATGCTGTGTACCATTTCTCTTCAGAGTTCCTGAGCATGTCACTGAGCTGGATGATGCTTCCCATATCCAAGCAATTTAAAGACATCTATGCAAAGAAATTCCTTTTGATGTGTTCTGTGAGATTCCTTTACTTGTGCACAAATATCTTCCAAAACTCCCTGGGCTGCGAAGATGAGCTTTAGATCCTGCCCCTGCCAAAATACCTTACGAAATCTTGATGTTCCTAGTGCTGCCCTGTACTACTCCACCATTGTACAGAAGTCTCCAGGAGTGGTTCCACCAAGTTTTGCAAAATGGCAAGGTGTTCGGGGGAAGCGGGTGGAGAACCCCGACTCCCATGCTCGACTCAGGCTCCACTGACCCCTTTTCACAAAGTTTATCGATACAGGAAGAGTTTCCACTGTGAAAGATTAAAGTGTTAACGCCCATAAGTTGTGCAGATCTCTCCAGTCCCAGTTCAGTGCTTTTGCCAGGCGTCCACTCGTGCTTCATTTGCTCTCGCTGCAGTCACTGCCAGTGACCAGCAGCGTCTGTGCTGTCTCTCCTGTGCCTGCCAGCTTGCTTTGTGGGTTGTTTTTTGTGTGCGGAGGTCCTTCCCCCTGCTAGGGGAGTGAGGAATTGCAGCGTGCCCGGTGGCTCTGTAGACAGTGCACCCGTGTTTGTGGAGAGGCTGAGCATCCTGTGCTTCCTTGAGAGAAAAGTGCGTTGCTGCTGGCCCAGAGCTAAAGCTCTGCGAGTATGCCTACTCAGAGATAGAAACCGTTGACTTGTAGGCCCTGAACTCCTTGCATAGTAGGAACTAAGGGGTAACGGGGAGTTACAAAAGCTGAGGTGCGTTTTCCTTCTGCTCTCTAAGCAGGGCACTGGTATCGATTCGGCTCTTTTGGCATCAGTGTGAGCAGGTGCAGCTCCTGGCCCTGCTCCACCCACAGTCACACTTGAGCGTCTCAGTGGGCGAAACCGAACACCCATCAGGATTAAAAACAACTCAGCAAAATAAAGAATGTGTTTTCAACTCGGATCAGTTCCTGAGTGTTGTGGTTTAAGCCCAGAGAGCATCAGAGCACCACACAGCCGCTTGCTCACTTCTTCCCCTTCAGGAATGGGGAGGAGGAAACAAAAGACTCTGGAATTGAGACGAGGACAGGGAGGGGTGACTCACCAGTTGTGGTCACAGGCAAAAGACAGACTCCACTGGGGAAGGAAAGGAGCATCAATTTAATTTGAACACCACCACCAACACTTAATTTACCAATCAAAGTAGGACAGTGAGAAATACAACCATGTCTTAAAAACGCCTTCCCCCAACCCCTCCCTACAGAGCATTTGCACAAAATGGAAAGGAGAGGGGTAATCAGCTGGGCTCGTGCACTTGTTGTGTTTCTTTTTTCTTTGCTTGGTTTCAGACTTTGGTATCTTGTTCTCTGGTTAATAGTGCCCACACGGTACGTTCTGGTGATGCACGTCAGGGAAAGGAGGAGCTCCCGGCAAAGCTCTTACGCAGTTCCATCCTCTGGAAATGCCAGCTGGCCCAGCTGGGTTTTGTAATCTCTTCCACAATGTAGGTCAGACAGCTGCTGCTCTTGCAGAAGCCCTCTCATCTTTCTTCCAGCCCCACCATGTTTCCAGGTGTCCTGTTCCTTCCCGTACAGGGGAGGTAATGCTGGAGCCATCGCTCACATGTTGTGTCCTCCTTTTCCTTCGTAGGGGACGGTCTTTACTTTGGAATCAGAAGAGGAAGAGTACCCCGGGCTCATTGCGGAGGACAGTAATGACATCTACATCCTGACCAGTGACAACTCGGGACAGGTGAGCCCCCCGGAGTCCCCCACGGTGACCACGTCGTGGCAGTCGGAGAGCTTGCCCGTCTCCCTGTCTGCGAGCCAGAGCTGGCACACAGAGAGCCTGCCGGTCTCCCTGGGCCCCGAGTCCTGGCAGCAAGTAGCCATGGATCCTGAAGAAGTCAAAAGCCTGGACAGCAACGGAGGGGCTGAAGAGAGGAGTGAAAACAACTCTTCCAACTCAGATATTGTTCACGTGGAGAAGGAAGAGATACCGGAGGGGATTGAGGAAGCAGCGGTGTCAGCTGTCGCTGCAGAGACCATGCAGGCAGCGCTTCCAGAAACCCCTGCTTCTTTACAGGAAATAAAACCCCAAGCTGAAGTTGCTGCTGTTGAAAAAGCACATCCCTCCACGCTTCTGCGTACGAAACAGGAAGAAAAGGGAAAAGTGGCTGAAGAGCATGTTGAACCTGAAATCCCCATATTAAGTAAACCTGTCCCAAAGCTAGCCCCATCAGAAGAAAAGGCTGCACCAGAACCTGAGAAAATACTGCTTCCAGGGGAAAAAAAAGTGGGGAAAGAGGGCCGTTTGGAAGAAATAGAAGAGAAATCCTCGGCTGCAGAGGAGAAGCCTATCTTATTGCCGGAAGGGAAATCTATATTGCTGTACGGTGGGGCTGCTGCGGTAGCTATATTAGCTGTAGCAGTTGGCGTAGCGCTGGCGCTTAGAAAAAAGTAATGGAGCTCTCTTGAGGAGGAGGGGGGAGAGAGCAGAGAGCACGATCCAATTTTTGTAGTTGTATAACCTAAAGGTTAAGCTGCCTGCTGTTTAATTGGACATTTTAGTAACTTAATGGTGGTGGGATGAGGTTGTTCAATAAGCCTCCAGCTATGGACAATCATGTTTTTAGTAGAATTGGGGCGGGGACTGGTTTTTCGTGATTAAAGTACAGGGGTATTTTTAAAAAAAAAAAAAAAAAAAAATTCTGCAAATTTAAGAACTTAAGTGCAGGTGCTGAAGAAAGGGGTGCTCGTACTCTAGGAACTGGAACAGAGAATCCCCAGGGGAAGGGAAGAGCCAGCTGCTGCCAACCCCTGGAGTTTTGGGCTTCTCAGACCGACCGCTATCGCAGCTGCGCTGTCTTGTCACTTCCCGTCGCGCCCCCGAGCCCTCCCTAACCACCATCAGCCAACCTGAGTCCTGTAGCGAGAGGCTGGTCTCCCTTCTGTCTCGGCTTCCTCTCAGGTACAGCACTGCTCCTCCTAACCTCGCAGGTTCCTCCTAAGCCCCAGTGGGAGAGTGCTTATTCTTACCTCTTCGCTCACACCGGTTTTGGCCCCTAACATTTACTGGAGCCCCACCCCGTAAAGATGCTGCCTCTCTATAGCTGTATTATCTCTGAGCATCCTGGTGTTCCTGGGGGAGAGGTGCAGGACGATGCTTCGGCTGCCGGGGAGGCTGGGAGGGACACTGCTATCTGCTGGGTTGAGAATCCACTCGCTCCGCTCCTGCCCGGCCCACTCCACTGCCACCCCCGAGTTACTGGAGGTGCAGAATTCACGCTGGTCGCGGTGCCGTGCTGATCAGTGCCCTGACACCCGGGCGTGTTCAGCAAAGATACGGCACCGCTACGCTGAAGCGAGGCCGGTGCCTCCTGTGCAGTTCAGGGGCTAACCGCTGTGCTGTCCCGTGTCACGCTGCGGTCTGAATCGTCTTTCCCAAGTTAAGCACAGAGTGTATTTAGTCCTAACTTGGTCTTGGCTGTGATGGAATCCCAGATACGGAAAGCGATGGATTCTAGTAACTGAGCAAAACAGCATTAAACATCTCCTCGATCTGCCCGTTCCTGACCTGCCCCAGAATGTTGTTCAGTGCAATTTCTTTTGCGACTCTGAATCTGTAATTAGCTAAACTTACAAGTTCACAAATGATGAGGAAGTTTCTTTGGGGGGGGAAAAAAAAAAAAAAAAAAAAAAAAAAGCACACCCACACCCTCTTCGTGCAGTCACAACACTTCAAACATGTGTGGAGAGAAACCTTCACAGTATGGCCACAGGCACTAGTCATGTCGGAGCCAACTGCCCGTGTTCCTCGTTCAGTGCGCGCTCGTGTCTGCCCTTGTCCGTACAGCAGCTCTGTGGGCAAGGCCCCGGGCTCTCCAGGCAAAGCTGCTGATGCATCTCTGAGGGTTCGTGCTGGCCCTGTGGCTTGGGCCAGATGGAGAGAGGGGAAAGGGAGCTCAGGATAATGTAAAAATTGAACTGTGAGCTTACGGGAAGCTTACTCTTTGTAAAGCACAAAGACAAGGTACTTTATTTCTAAATAATCTTATCCAGAGTACATCTCCTGGTCTGAGAATGAAGAGATTCTAGCACATTCTCTATTTTAGGATATTCTTGCTACATTTTCCTATCCCACCCATATCCCAGGATGCTGGGAAGTCAGTAAGAACCTGGCAGATTCTGAGGAATGTTTTTTTGTTTAAGCTTTTATGAGAGTGGACTTTCTAGGAAACTTCTTGGATTCTGAACTACATGTGTGAAGTTGAACACTAAGAGGAAGGAAGGATTGTCGCGTGTGCACGGCTGCTGTGGACTGAACTCGGGAGCTCTGGAGTTTTGGACTTCACCGTTGATCACCGATTGCTCTTTTTCCATGTACAAAAGGTAGCAGGTTGGCCTTAACAGAAAAAGAAGCCCTTTACTAAGTTACAGAATGGAATTGACATTTTTTTGCCATTTCCCAGTGCCCTGCTGGTCCTCCCATTGCTGTGCTGCGTGCCCAGAACGGGTCACGGGGATCTCCTCCCGCCATGGACTCTCCAGCGTCTGCCTTCCCACCCCTGCAGCCCCCTCTCCGGGCCCCTCGCGTGGAGAGGAAAGGTGGCTTCATGCTGCTTTTGTCACGGACACGCACGAATGTTTACAGTTTTGCTTTGTTTTCACCTGTGGCAACAGCATTTATCAACAAGTGACAGTCTGCGAGGGCACCTGGTTGTTGCTGCGTGGCGAGGGCTGCTTTGCTGCCCGGTAAGTCGGGGTAGGCCTGTCCCTCTCCTGCTGCTTCGCTGATCGGTGGCTTCGGTTTCCTCGCCGGGCACCTTCTCTGTGGGAGAAGGGCTGTTCTTAACCCGACCCGTGGCCTCTCCTTCCCGAAGATGATGCACCTCCCTGTGGGACACCCCCCCATGTGTAGCCACACCGCGGGTTACACAGAAGTACCCACGTGCACCCTGGAGCAGATTTGATGGATTTTGTGGACTCTCTGGATAACTTTACAAACTGGGGGGGCGGGGTGGGGCTGGTGTTACTTCGGCTCTTCTCAGTACATGGCTGTATCAGTAGTAGTGTTGGAGGTGGGTACAGGACAGACGAGAAGAATAAATCCATGCCGGCTAGGGAATAAGCCCCTAGCTTGTTGGCATAAGGACCCCAGTGGGATGTTAAAAAACCCCTGACTTCTTCCACACACAGCAGTGAGAAGAAGGTGGCAGCAGTAGTAAGGAAGATAAATTGCTTTGTTTTCGTGGTGGGGTGAAAGCCTCAAGTACCTATCTTATCTGGTGCGTTGCTGCATTTAATGGAGCATCAGCTACGCTGCGTGCTTTGGTTGCTTGGTCCTTTCTTTATGTTCTTCTCATTTTAGGGTCTTATAGATTTGGCGAGTCAGCAAGAATTTGTACCTCTTCTCCCCCACCCTACTGACCACGCATTTATAATGTCTGTCGTATGCATCCCTTTTGTCTGGGAACACTCCATTAGCTGAAAAGGTTGGTTATGGACGGCAATTCTACTGAATTGGGAATCCTGTGGTCAGAGCTGGGACAGGCCCTGTGGCAGTCACCACGAGGCGGGTAAGCTCAGGTGACAGCATTCTTACGGACTCGAGTGCCAGGCTCCTTGCTCTATTACAGGTGTGAATTAGAAAATGGAAGGGTTTGGGTCTTCCCGCCCCCCGCCATCCTCAAGTACATTAAAGTAATCCTAAACTGCAGGGTCTAATTACCCCGAACTGTGTGATGCAACCTCTCCGTAGTGGAGCTCTTGCAGCTGGCAGAGGAAAGGCAGTAGCTATATACTTACAAAAGGGCATATAGAATTACTCTCACTTGTGTTGCTTATCCCCTTCCCAAAAGTGCCTCAATATCTGTCCTCGAGTGGCCTGTACCTTAATAAAATATCTACCTTAGACCCATTCTTTCTTCACTTTATCCTTGTCTGCAGCACACCCTAACGCTGAGATGCTATAACAGCAGAGGACTGGATCTACAAGGAACTGCAGTGGGTAGCATGCTAAATAAGGAGCTGTCAAGGAAAAGGCTTTCAAGATAAGGTGCAATTTAAAAATTCGGTTGTACTTAACTCTAAGCTCTGCTCACGTGGGTGTTGTGGCTGGGAGCTGGGCCAGGCCTTTCTTCAGCAACCGCTCCTGGAACAACAGGCTGGGAGCAAAGGCAGAAACCCAGAATCCCTCTGTCGCGCAAAAGCCCAAACCACAGCCACAGAGCCGCGTCCCTGCCTCTTGCAGCCGGGCGCCGGGAGGGCCCGGGGGTCTCCTGCCTCCCGCGCCCCCCAAACCTCCGAAGCTGGAGGCTGTGGGGCTGGCGTTGGCACAGCAGGGCCGAGCTGCTCGGCTGGGGCAGAACAGGGATATTACTGGGGCACACACAGCAAAGCAGCTTGAAAATTTAAGGTTTTTGGTTCTCATCGGGCTAGGTGGACACTGAGTAGGGGTTTGCAGGGTGATAATTTGGCTGCTGAAAAATCCGGAAAATAACTTAGATCTAAAATACTAGATCTGGCCCAATGAAACAAGCCAGAGCCAAGGAAGCAGCATTTCTGCAGCCTTCTGTCCATTGGGAGGGGAATCGGCAAGCGGCTGCCGGCTCCAGGTGCTCCCCAGTCTGAACAGAAGCACCACATGGAGCCGGACGGTGCAGCGGCCTCAAAGATGATCAGGGGACTGGGAAGCCTGCCACGTGGGGAAAGGCTGAGAGAATTGGGTTTGTTCAGCCTTGAAAAGAGAAGCTCAGGGGAGACCTTTTCACCATGTTCCAGTATTTGAAGGGTGGCTACAAAGATGATGGAGACTCCCTTTTTGCAAGGAGTGACATGGAAAAGACAAGGGGGAAAGGGTGCAAGTTATTCCTGGGGAGATTCCGATAGGACACAAGAATTTTTCCCAATGAGCACAATCAGCCGCTGGAATAATCTCCAAAGGGAAGTGGTGGATCCCCAACACTGGACACTTTCAAGATTGAGCTGAGCAGGGTGCGGGGCCATCTTGTCTAGTGTGTGATTTTGCCAGAAAGGTTGGACCACATAATCCTCAAGGTCCCTTCTACCCCGCTATTCTGCAAGTCTGGGATTTCACAGTCTCTATTCAGTATTGCACCTGGTTTTGGACACCAGTTTAACTTCTGGCTTGAGGTGAAGTGCCTGTTGTGGTGGTTGCAGTTGGTTGTTTCTTTCCTAACCTGCCTTCCAGAGAGCAGATCAACTACTACAAGACTCCATCCTTGCTGTTTGTGAGGGCTTGATTTTCATCCTGGCTGGGGGCTGTGCTCAGGCTGTAGTGCTGAGTGCTCTTGCCTCAGGCAAGTTCTGGTGCCAGAATCCAGTTTCCTTCCTTTTCATGTAGCTCTGACCACAGCTAGACTCACGCTTCGCTTTCTAATGGTCACAAATGAAAAATTTCATTAGTATTAACCAAGCAAGGTTCTGAAGCTTAGCCTTTTTTTATTTTAATAGTTGTAGTAGGCAAAATAATTTAATAAACCTTCCCTACATTTAATTTCAGCTACAGCAGTATGGGAGTACTAGCAAAGCCCTAGTGAGGTAGATCCTGCTATTTTGGCAAAAAACTAGAAGCGCTTCTAGCAACATCTTCTCTCCTTCACTGAACCGGAGCAAGCCCGTGCTACAGAATTTGAGTCCGATTGCTAGCTGCTTCTGTTGTGAAATGGGGGTGGGGGGGGGGTGAACACAGCCCCAGCTGCCATGCCCAGGTCTTCAGTAGAGTATCTCAATCCAGGCTTTGAAAGTCAGCTCAGCAGTGTCTCTGCTCCAACAGGAGTAATGTCTACTCCAGGAGGCTACACACCGGGAGAAAGCGTTTCCCAGTGAAACACGGAGAGGGGAGGTGCGTTATCTCCTGTACCTAGTGACGGCAGAACCTGGGCGTGACTTCGATTTGGCTTGGTCTGCTTAAGTTCAGCACTAGGAAGGTTACGAGAAGAGTATTGCTCTGACTCCATGTATGTATCAGTGCTTCACAGTGCACGCTCTGTATTGCCACTAGGGAAAAAAAAAAAAAAAAAAAAAAAGGAGGTATGCTGTGTGTAAGATTTAAGCCACCAGTGCTTGTCTCCCTTAGAGCCAAGGCACTGCCTGCGGGGCGCAGGGCTCGCTCCAGGCTGCAGCCCTGGGTTGTGGCTGCTGAGGTGAACACTCCTGCCTGGGGCAGGGGGCTGGGGCCCAAGAACTGCACCAGCCAGGGAGGGGGCAGCTGGGGTGGTACCAGTACAGCCCAGGGAGCAGCACCACGACAGCACTCAACTCCACCTCCTTAAGTTAAGTAACTGTTGCTTTCTTTCCCTACTTAGAGCTGACCCTCTCTCGGTCTCTGAGGTAGGCTGATTTGCTTCCTCCAAGCTAGAGGTCTATGGTCATGCTGTAGAAGTGGGGGAGCTACAGTTAGCTTCCAGTGGAAGCTGCTTTTGATCTCCCTGCAGTATCTGCAGGGGAGGGAAGGAACACTGTTGTTTTGGACAGAACAAGCTGCAGAGGATGCATCTCACTGCGATACCTTTAGGGGGTCTGTCATAAGCTTTTATTGAAGTGTAAAGCTAAAACCCACTCAGACCAAAAAAATGCCATTTGATTTGTGAAGTAGCAAAGACTAATGGGACTGACTCCGAAGTATGGTGTTAAGGGTTATCTTCTGCTAGAGCTTCTGCTGGGTGTAAGCAGGTAGTGACAGACTGGCAGGCTTTTCAGATTCTGTTCTCAAGAGGCCTGCCTGGGGGAAGAGACCCTGACTGGTTCTCAAGTCACCCATTACCCAAGGAACTGGTCATATTGTTCCTTTTAATATGCAAGTGCAGCCCTCTTGGGGAAAACTGTCTAAAGCTTCTTGTGCCATTTGGTTAATAAAAGTGTTTCCACCTTTAAAACAAAGTTCTTTCCAGCTTCATTGTTCTATCTTCAGTTGAAGTGAAGGGGTATGTACGTTTTTTCCCCTCTGCTAACGGGACACTGCTGTAAGACCATGCCCCCAGGTTGCACTTTAATAAATGGTACAGTTTTCAAAAACTATGTGTAGACTCCTTCTGTGCTTTCTCTCTTCCCACCCTGCCCCTTTCTAGTACAGGCACCAAAATTAAAAAAAAAAAAAAAAAAACACCAACAACAAAAAAGGTGGTTTTACTTACGCAAGATTTCCTTATGCAAGGCACAAGGCCAGGACCACAATGTCTCTTTTGCTGCCAGCTGCATCATAAGCAGTAGTAAATTAGAGGAATGCCATGAGTACTTGCACAAAAAACTGGCAACACCAAAAAAAAAAAATCCAGGTGGAAATAGAAAATCTTAAGAGCTATATTGCTATGAGAACTGACAATTTTATTTAAGTTAAAAAACCCACAAAATACTTACAGCATTTCAAAATTTGAGGCAGCTGGATCACAGGTGAAGCCTTTGCCACCTTGTGTGTGATTAAATCACAGGTTTATGTCAAAAAACCTGAGTCCAAGTTTGTTGACCCTGAGAAGTGACTTGCAATACACTCGTAAGAGATTCCAGGTATTCTTCCTGATCCAAGGCTGATACCTTCTTTCTCTCTATAGCAAGATATTCTAAAGCCAAACACTTTTCCTCAAGCACATCCAGGTTGCATCCCCTGAATGAATTTGCCCTGTGTGTAATCCTTGTCCTTTTCTTTACAGTTTCTCATGCAGTTTTTTTTTTTCAAGCAAGCATGAGTTTATGGCAATTGATACTGAAGCATCTTTACTTCAGCCTTCCCTGGCCGAACACCCCTATCTCCTTTGGGGTTACTCCCTCTTGCTGCCAGCTCCCCTCTTAAAACAGACCTGATTTCCCCATTCCTTGGTGATCTGTGCTGATCAACCTCCCATTCTACAGCCCAAGGGCTTCCTGGGAACAATTAACACTCAGCTTGGCTCAGCTGCAGCACCAGGACAGGGCTGGGAAGAGAATTAACTAAAGCAAAATGCTACAACTGATTAGGAAAAAACCCACTGAGGGCAGTTTCTGTGCCTACAGCATTTCCTCAAGGCACAAGCCACGGTCTGCACAGTCTTGCTACTACTAAGATTAAAAAACCCCACAAAAACACCAAAAAACTACTGTAAAATGAGAGAGGGCAAGCACTACTCCTTACAGGCAACTGGCAGAGCCAGCACGCAGCTCGCACTACCATCATTGCTGGGCTAGTCTACAAAAGCCTATCTATGAAGCTCTGCCTTCCTCTTCAGAGCTGTATTTCAGAAGTGAAGAGCAGAAAATGATTTGCATACATCAAGAAAAGTAAAAAGTCCTTGGGAATCCTCCTTCTCCACACAGCAGGCTGGAGAGCTCACTCACGCAGCTAGAGGGAGAGAAACAGAACCAGCATTTAGGGCAGAAGAGCCATCCCCCCAGGGCAAGCCCTGTGCCCGCCCTCACCGCGCTAAGGGCAGGGAGGGAGCTGGCACCAGAATTCCCAGGGAATTGGGGTGGAACAGCCCCTGGTGCCCAGCGCTATCCCCCCTCCTCACGCCACTGCCACTGCCCTGGGGCGGGGGGGCAACCAGCCGGCCCCTGCCCGCCCCGGCTGTGCCAGCGCTCAGCACAGCGGCGCCAGGCCCCAGCCCTCACGCTCACCCCCGCCACGTTCCTGTGACGCTCGGTGCCCCCGAGCTAAGCCCAGTGACCCCGGAGGAGACGCCGTGTCTTGCTGCCTGGCAGAGAACCGGGGTGCAGGGTGTGCTGGGCCTTGCCAGCGCTGTCTGTGCCAGGCTGTAGTGCAGGGGGGGCCCCCCCCCCGGGCCTGCAGCACCCCGCTACGGTCACTGCTGTTCCACAGGGTGAGGATCACAGCCCCAGCTGCTCTCAAATCTCATTCTTAAGAAACAGAGGCGGGGTGTGTGTGTGTCCACCCATATTCTCCTCCTTTCCCCCCAACACGTTAATTACTGAAGCTGGGGCCAGGGCCCTTCACCTCTACCCTGGCTTAACTGCCAGCTGTTTAGTGCCCCCCCACGCTGCAGCTCCAGCAGAGAGCAAGAACAGAGCTGCCATTTCCCATTTGACCACTTCTCATTGTTCATCCCCTGGTGCTGTTTCGCAGGGGCAATTCCTTTCCCCTTTCAGTTCTGCCAAGCTCTGGGGAGCCCAGGAAGGCTGGAGCAGATACCTCAGGCCCAAGACATTTGGGAAATACAGCTATCAGAACTCGGGGCAGGCTTTCCTTTCCCAAAGGCATGATTAACCCAAGTCTTATCAGCAGAGCTCCCTGAAGAGACTGCAGGGAAAAGAGGGGCAATCACATTTTTTTCTCTGCCCTACAGAATAAATGCACTCTTCAATGGCTGCTGAGGGGGGCAAGCAGAAGCTGTGACATGCCCCCCGCTTCAAGCCTCCCTCACTTCCCACCAGCCTTCAGAGCTCTGCAGGGACTGGCATTCCCTTCTTGCCAAACCCCCAGAGCACTACAGGGAAACCAGCAGCCCCCAGGCAGCTGGGAGCCAGGCCACCCCTCCAGGAATAACCCAGGCCAGCTAAGAGGCTGGTCATGACTCTCACCGAGATGTCTGGCAGCACTCACCATTCTGACAATGTAGTTGTGGAGCTGCTGGCTGATGTAGTTCACAGTGGTCCTGAAGACACGCTGTAGAAGGGAGGGCATTGTATTGGCAATTTTTTTAGTTAAGACCATTGCTAGCACCAACATGGCCTTCTCCTGTTCCATGTCTGAAGGGATGGCTCGTGCAAGCCCCTCCACGGCCTCTGACATGCGCCGGGTTATCTCCTGTATGAAAGGAAGAGAGGGATCTCAGTGCAACAGCTCACGGAGAAAGGGGTCTCAGCACAGCCTGCCAGCACCCTGTTAGAACAGCACTGCCACAACTGCTGTGCTTGTTCTAACACCCCAGAGGATGCTGCTCCCCCTCCTCCAGGCACAGCCGCCTGCCTGTTACACACCCTGGATTGCAACAAGGATGACTATCTCTGAGCTCAGCAGCTCACCCAAGACAAAAGGAAACAGAGACAAAACACATACCGCTGAAAAATTTAGATAGCAACCTACACACTCGGGGTGCAACAGCTCCCCTCCTCCCCAGGGTTTGCACCTAGCCTGCCATGTCCTGAAATGGCACAGGAATCCTGGGGCTCCCAGGAAAGGGCAATCCACCTTAAACACAGCGAAGATCAGGGGTACAAGCTTAGGTGGGGACTGGCAAGAAGGCAAAGCGAGTCTCACAGAAAGAAGGGAGGAGCTAGAGAAGATGTCCAAGCATGGAACAAACACTGACTTGCTCCCAAGATCAGTTTCCCAAGAGGGATGATGTGCATATGCACACAGTAAGCTACACACTACTAATGTGAAAAAGCAAGGTCTACCTAGTCAGAAGTTAAGTTTGTCTCAGCCTTACTGAAGACTGAAATGGTAGGCACTAAATTTGAAGGCCTGAAACTTAACTGGGTGGAGAACAAGACCACAGGCATGGGCAATGGTCAGACTTTGCTGGAAACAGTCTGTGTAAGGTGATAAACTCCAGTAGAAAACCCACACACCACAAAACAAAACCAAAAAAGATTATTTGAAGTCATTAAATGCTGCATTTTCATCAAGACAGCAAGAAGGTGGGTCCTCAATTCAAAGACAGCATTAGTTTGTAGAACATAGGAAACTTCATCATGGGCAGAGAAGGCCAAACAAGCCAGAAAGTCACAGTTACCTTAAAGATGCCAAAAAGGCTCTGTGGCAACAAATTGTGGCTCTTGATCCAGATGTGGATCCAATACTTACAAAGAGAAAAAGGGATGTCTAACACAAGGGACCTCAATCTCTACTTCCCTTGCACAGCCATGAGGCACATCAGAAGCTGGGCCAAGGACATCACGTGTATTGGTGGGAGAGCAACTGCATCAAAAAGGTGGAGACGCCACCTCAGTAGGTTACCCACCCAGGCCAAAACCCACTGCTACTCCCAACACTGACAGACTATAAGCTAAGCAGTTATGGAACTAGAAAAGGGTCTCACTACTTGCTGTGTCTCCAGTGTTCAGTAACAAGCACAGGTCAAGCTTCTGGCATAAACTGCTCAAGTTTTATCCACATGACAAGCAGCAGACACACAGGACTCGGCACCAAAGTCCAAAGATCTTAAGGACAAATACTAAGCCTTAACCAGACAGTTGCTTTCCAAAGATAAGCCATTGGGCCAAAAAATGAGGACAAAATGCCTCTCAAAGTCAGTCCTCCTCCACAGCTACCTCAATTTTGCCATTTGCAGAAAGGAGATGAGCCCAAGGAACCAGAATTTGCATGGAAACAGCTGCCACAGGACGCAGCATCACCTATAACAAGCCTTCAAAGGTAAGTGTTTGGACTGAACTTTAAGGTTGCAATAGTTCAATCATCAAACTAGCAAAGCTACAGAAGTTGCAAAATTACTGCTTCAAAGTCACAGCAGGAAAGATGCACAAGATTTAAAAGGGGAACTGCTAGTCAGGTTGCTTTTCACTCACCTCTCCAGACAGATTCTCATTCAGAAACTGCTGCACTAGATCATTTACTACTCTTGCTTTGATTTCTTTATCAAACTGGTCTCCAATCTCAGCAAGCTGAGCAGCAATGATCCGGACAACTTCTTCATTTACCTCAGGGTCAAACACTGCCAACACATACAGCAGGATTTAGTTCACAGGCTGCAGTCAAGACCAGTATTGGTGCAGGTAAGCTGACCCATAGCATTTTGCCCATCTCCTTCCCACCCCCAAATCACAGTGCATTCCTGACAGCTGTACACACTACAACTCCCATGTATACACTTGACTCATTTATCAAAGACTGTGTGCGTACAGTTTTTTTTTTTAATCTGTAGTTTAGGTAAAGTGCAGCCTCACCCTGCCCCAAAAAAACACTACTGGGGAGCTTAGAACATCTCGGGACAGGACAGCTACAGCCAACACCCTGCCTAGAGAGGGGAAGTAAGAAAGTGTACATGATTTTTTTCAAGTGATTAGTGTCAGGACCTGTCTCAAGCACCATCTAAAATACGTCACATAGAATAGTTTGAGTTAGAAGGGACTTTTTAAAGGTCATCTAAGGGTTTCCTGCAATGAGCAGGGGGACAACTTCAACTAGATCAAGTTGTTCAGAGACCCACTGAACCTGACTTCAAATATTCCTTGGAATGGGGCATCTACCACCTCTGGGCAACCTGTTCCAGTGTTTCACCATCCTCACTGTAAAAAAATTTCTTCCTTCTATCTAGTCTGTATCTACCCTCCTTTAGTTTAAAACCATCACCCCTTGTCCTACGACCTTTTGGCAAAGCTTCCCATGGTCACTTGGGGCAGAAGACCTATGCAGATTTGTATGAGGAAGGGCTATTTACTGCAGCTATTCCTCTTCACCCTGCTTAGGCTGAGGTCAATGTGCCAGCTGACACATCCTAGGCAAAGGGCAATAACCATCCTGCAGATGGCTAGTGAAGCAGGAACAGCACCAGAAACTGAGGAGAAGCTTCTATCACATCAGTAGAACAGAAAGGGATTCATCCAGTACCAGGACAAGAGTTGTTCCAAAAATCCTAGCTTAAGTACTGACACTGCCTGAGGAACAGCATGAGGCCTAACTTAACTGCTTAATATCACACTCCTTGAGGACAGCAATCACTAGTACCAGCTTTGTGGCCCTCCTCTGACATGCTGCAGACAAAACCCCAGGCTGACGGGTGGTTCAGAAATCCATGGGGAGATAAAGTGCTAAGCACTAGCTCTCTTATCCCAAGCATTAAACTCACAACCAACACCACCACCAACAGCCACAGTGAAGTTTCTCAATGGAGAAAATGTTACTTCTCTAAAACAGACCAGCAGCAAAGATGGGAAAATGGGAAAGAGAAACACCACCTTCAGAGAGGCAGGTACTATGGAGAAAAGAGCACTTACCTGGCTCGCCATTCTGCATGTGGCCACTCCGGTTGCCATCAGTTTGAAGTTCCACCTCATCATCGTAGCAGTAGCTGCCTTTCAAAGACACAATCCCCTGGCTTTGCAGGGAATGCAGTTGTGCTCTGAACTTACAGTCAGAGGATACATCCAGGAAGGTGTACAGCAGGGCACACTCCATCTGGACAGATCCATTGATCTGAAACATAAGAAAACCACTGTTAAGCCCATGCCTAGAAAAAGCCCCACTCAAAAGGTCTACATGTGTGTTGTTTTCCAACCCTGAACACATTTCTCTGGCCTCTTTTGGACATCCTGAATAGCATTAGCCAGGGAGTCTACAAGACTTCAGCAAATGCACGCTGACCCCTGGATGTGCACCCACACAGAACTGTCTGATTGTGAATGACAGATGACTGCTCTTACAAACCAGTGGTGGATGTGCCAGCTCACCTTCTCCTCACATTTCCAGCTATGGCAATGACAGAAACCCTGATCACAGCTTCTCTTTCAGAAACAGATGTGTACTCAGCACAAACCACCCACTTCCCCCTACCCAGACAACTGTATTTGGAAGTGCTTTACCCCTGTATTTGAGAATTGGGCATTCTACTTCCTGTGCATAATGAAGCCAGCAGCTCCCCATTCAAATGTAATCATAGCATAGCAGTAACAAGGTGGGAAACAGAGATAACTACACAAGCCTGCAAAAAACCCCAAGGCTCACATTCTCCTCTGTCGTCAAAGGGATCTTGATTAGCTCCATAATAGACTTGTTCAGCTCCCTGTGGAGAGTCAAGCCACTGCTCACAAGAACAGTGACAGTGAGATGGCAGATCATTGGTGTCTAGCATCATCTACACTGGCACATTCACCCACAGTAAACAGGCACATGCTGCCTCTACAGCCATGAACCCTGCAGCCATCAAGCAAGGTGGCACAGAGCACCCAAATTAGTTAGGCTGAGGAGGTCCCTGAGGCAGCCAGACTGACCTGAGCAAGAGGTCCCACTGGAACATGGGGCCTCCTAACTAAGGCATCTGTAGAAAACCAGGAGACTGTCCAGTAGTTTTAGTTAAGCAGCTGAGAGAGCAAGATGTTGTGTAAGTACATAAATAAAGTGTTTAATATTGCACAAAACAATGCAATAAGTTGATCACAGTGGTGTGTCTATTAATTTGATTTATTAGTTTCAGTAGTTTGTAGCTTTATCAGTAAACATTGTAGTCTCTTAAATAGCTACACCTCCAGCCTGCAGTTTAAAGGGGAAATGTCACACTGCAAGGTAACAAGGAAGCAGCATGCAAACTAAATGGTTCCATCCACTTGTCTGTGTTCAGAGCAGTGTCAGGGCCCCTCAGGGCCCCTTCAGGAATTCTGGGGAAGATGAGAACACAAAACAGCACTTTTTGAGACTTATCTTCAAGGTATCTCGGAAAAAGTGCACAAGAGAATCACCGGTCACTGTGAACCATCGAGTTCAGTCACATTTGAATCTAACCTGTTCCATGATGGATTTGGAGATAGAGCAGCTCCTGTCACCCACTGCTTCAGACCAGAAGTCCTTGTCCTGCAAAAGACTAAGGGAGAAATTTTAAGAATTTCCCAAAAAACCACATCTTGCAGCAGTGCTCGTGGGTCTGGCCATGTCTCACAGAAAATGATCTTTCTAGTGATGCATATCCATATTTCTGGAGAGGGCTGATCATTAGGCACTGACTATCATAAAAAAAGGCTGAGAAAGCCACAACTATCCCAGCAAGAAGGGCCCTGTTCACCCGAATCAGGAGCACAGAACACCTTCCTGCCACAGACGTGTGGAAGACAGTGGAGTGACATAACCTATAAAGTGGGCTTTAAAGCCAAGAGGTGGTGCTGGGGAAGGGAGGGACAACCCTTTGTAGTGCCAGAGGCTGGAACAGAAAGCAGCGCTATCACAGAGGAGAACTAGAGCACCTACTGAGCAGGTGAGCTGCTTGGGTGTGTGTGTACAGCAGCATATTCTGAAGTGAAACACTCAGCTGACATTGCTACACATCTGCAGGACTTCAAGTGCGCCTCCCCCTGTGTATACTCAGGCTTATTTCAATACTTTCCCAACAAATACCTACAGATGGGGAAGGCTGGACCAAGTGCCATCACAGGCTTCTAGTTACATGAGCACAAGTCCGCTAAGCCTCCAGGGAGGCCTGCTAGGAAGAAGGGAGAAAACAGGACCCAGGTCACAAGCTCCTCTGCCCCCACGATGCGTGCTCAGGGCTGACAACCCTCAGTGTCTCATGGCTGGGCAGTGCTGAGGGGAAGAGGCATGCAGAGGGGCACAGAGCATGGTGGAGAGGGTGGCCTCCCTCACTCCCCAAGACAGAGGAGCTGGTAAGAGCACAGTGCTCCCTTCTCATCCAGCCAGGCGTAACTGATAGGTGGGTCAGACCAGCAGAGCAGCCAGTCACATCGTGTAAGGGAAATCCCAGAGCAAGAAAGGTGTGAGAACAGCACAGCAAGTGCCAATAACACAAGACCACCTAGCAAATGCCAAGGCAGGGAAGACTGGAATCCTGCTTGTGAACCTTGCGTTTGCTGCCTTAGATGCAACAGTCCCACAGCTGCACAGAAGTCTCTGGTACAAGCTGGCTTCGACTTGATGAGCAGGGCTGGCTGAAATTAGGCACTACCTTCCCACCAGGCCTTCTTCACCCAGGGCAATAACCTGGCTGCTCTACCGGTACCATCTGACTGAAAACAGGGTGAAAGCACCAAGGAGCCCAGATGGCCTGCTAACCATCAAAGACCTGGGCTAGTGATAAATGATCCTATTTCATTTAAAACACAGTTGTGAGGGGTTCTTACAATAACTAAGTGTGCTGGTGGAAAAGAGGGAGGAAGCAAAAGCAGAAACCAATTCAAACTCTAAAGGAAATCACAGTAATAATTTCAAGAGACCATGAATTTTGCAACCTTTCAAAGGTTCTTAGGAGTCCAAGACCAAAACACTTCTAACACACAATAGACCACAGGCTGTCTCTTAACCATTGAGCTTTTTCTTCATGTAGTTGTTCCATCAAACTAATAGCTTCCTAAAACACATGCTTAGCCTTTGCTGCTTTGAATTTGCCTCTGTTCCATTCAAATCCCTACTCTTGTTACTCACCTCTACCGTAGAGTGTGTCTGTTAGGGAGAATACAGTCCTCTGGCTTCTCCTCTGGGACCTGACAGGGCTCTGAAATAGGTCAGGGTGACCCTTTTCCTGGGCTTGACTTTGCTGGAGGAAAGACAGATAATTCAGGTTGGAGAATTTGAGACAGAATCCCTGAGATTAAGAAGAAAGTGGGGATTTAGCATTAAGTATGTGGCAGGACCTTGGCTTTGTGCAAACTCCTCAGGAGGTATCTACATCAGCCTGTAAGCTAGACAAATCCCCAACATGCATGTATTTTGTTTTTATATATAACACTTATTTTCAATTCAAAGTAACTCAGCCCAAACTCAAGGTGTTCATGTTACAACTAGTAAACAGTGGATGTCCTCTGATACCAGCTCCTGGCGAGTTAAATGCCACTTCCTGAACCATCATGGCTTAGACCACAGGAAGCCTGAAGTAGTATTGAGCCTCTGCTGCCCACATCCCATTTGCCTTGAAACCCACAGTCATCACAGCAACCTTCTTGGGCTCTACCAGTATCACCATCCCCACCCAGCTCAAGCCTACACCAAAAGCTTCATGTGGGAACCACAGCTCTACAGCTGATCAGATTAACACATGCTGGCTAATTTGGGCTGGCAATAGCCAGGCTGAACAAATGCCCTTGTCTTTCAATGTGCAAGAAGGTGCATCACCCTCCGTTCACACCATACTACATGTGCAGAGGGGCAGACATCCTCCTGCAGCTCTGGCAGAAGTGTGATGCAACACAAGCCACTACAGCTGCAAGCTGCACGCAAGCGGCCAGATGCACTGGTGAAACTAGCTGGAGTAGCACCAAAGAGACTTCCCACTCACAAAAACTTCACAACAAACCCTCTTCCACCCTAACCTAGCCAAACCATGCTAGGATGACTTTCTCATTGATATTTCCAGCAAACTGCTGGAGGGCAAGTTGAGGACAGTCAGGTGGCAATAAACAGACTAAATAAAACATCAGCCTGCAGAGGGACCAGCATAATCTTTGTTACAGCAAGAGGATTGAATAGAAAAAGAAGTCAAGACACTTCCTTGGAGGTTTGCCACCTGCTGCATCTTTCCAAGGAAAGCTCAGAATGTGGCCTTAAAACAGAGATTCCTCACATTCTTTGTCACATTATTTCACACTGCCAGGAAACTCATTTGGTTCAGTCCGAACACTCGTGAAAGAGAACCAAAACGAAATGCACTGTTGTCTTTCCCCCACTCCCTGCTTTAAAAGAAGAGGCACAGACCACTTGAGTCCAGGAAGGAAAAAGGCACACTGATCCATTTCCAAAGCAGAAACTACAGGTCAAACAAAAAGATCCAAATCTATTCCTGACATGTCCATGCAGCCAGACCCAGAAAGGCCGGGCACGGCAGCTTGGCACAAGTCTCTGCAAGTACATTATCCATACCAGCTTACTATGATGACTAGAAGCTGTAAGAAATGCTTGATACTGTCTGCCTGTGCATGTTCCTCAACAATTCCTGGACTGTGCAGGAAAGGTGCCTGTCTATAGCTCTACAGACCCAAATACTGCATTTTGAAAACATTTATGCTTTTCAAAGACAGGCAGGAACTTATAGACTGGTTATGGCAGAAAGGTCCTCGGTGCCCTGCCCAGGTAAAACACCTCGACAAGAGCCTCAATGCTGACAGAAAGGGGCTGTGCAGCCCCTGCCCTGTCAGGGTACCTGCTGTACCCAGTGATGTTAATGAGTGTGCAGGGGGGAGACCTGCAATACACAGCGGTTCTGCCCTTCCCCTCAGGGGACCATCTCAGTTCTATGTAAAGTTAAACACTCCTCAGGGCAAGTCTATGGAAAGAGACATTAAAAAAAAAAAAAATCACCCATCATAGTTCCAAACTGCAAGTTTGTCCACTCCTGCACATGAATAGAGATAAGAAAAAAAGAACAATTAAAAAACCCCACTACACTCCAAAGTACTTATATGGTAAAAAATTAAGACAAGGAGGATTGAAAATGGTAATTTCATGAACTGAATTCCCTGAATCAAAGAATCACCACCCAGGCAGTGAAAGCCCCTGAGGGGTTCCAGTCCTCAACTAATGAAGTTCTGCCTGGGTGGTCAAAAACACACACCTAAGAACAGGAAAAAGGATTTATCCAAAACCACAAAATGGCTCCCTACTACTACAATACAGGGCCAATTTTGCCTTTTTTTTAGTTAACCAGTAATTCCGGAAACATCAAGTTTTAGATAATTACTCTGAATCAAGGCAAGGGGCCTGGATAGTCAAAGCTCCTCCTAAGTCAAATTCTTTAATGGAATTTCAAAAAATTGGATCCCTAAAGAACAAACCCCAAACAGTCAAATGTAATCATGCTGATGCCACCTGAAGTTTTTAATCATTAAGACTTTGGAATCCCAGCAGTTTTAGATTCAGATTAAGGCCTTTTCTGGTGGATGAAAAAAGTTACCTTATATTAGGTAAAAAGAGAATGAGGTAAAGATGGAGACAAAGGCTACAAACACCATCTGCTTTCAGATTCAGAGTAAAACTAGATCATTTGCTAAGGCTGCCTTAGGGCTGCTGAAAGTCTTGAAATTAATTTTATGGAGTATGATTTTTTTTTTAAATTGAAATGCCAATTAATAATGCCAATACATTATTCCTTTTCACACTCTGAATTCACTCAAGACAAGCGAGCTTCATGTATTAACAGCTGCCTCTGATAAACCATTAGATGCCTTGAAGTGTTCAACAGGTAGAGACTACAACCAGTTTTTTTGATTAGTTCTATTTTCCTTAGAAAAAAAAGGGCATATTTTGAACACAGGTTTAAGACCCTTAAATCAGCTCTGGAGTCACTGTGGGGCACGTCCATTCCAACTCAACATTGTGTTGGGATGCAGAACTGTGGAGAGGCATATAAGAAGTAAACATGATTGCAGTCAGAAGAACACACCCACCAGCCGCTTGTCAGCACAGAATGACAGACCTCCTTCCACCCCAACACATGCCAGCTTTCACAAGAGAATTCTGTGGATGCTTCCCCCAAAGCAAGTCTCGGATGCTTCCCCCAAAGCAAGTCTCGGATGCTTCCCCCAAAGCAAGTCTCGGATGCTTCCCCCAAAGCAAGTCTCGGATGCTTCCCCCAAAGCAAGTCTCGGATGCTTCCCCCAAAGCCAGTCTCCGAGGCTTCCCCCAAGACAATCATGACTTTAGGCTGGGCTGAGCACATCCTGAGGATTGCTTCTTGGACAGCAACACAGGTCCCACAGGTCTGAGGTCCCATCTTGTCTCTCCCTCTCATCCCCAAGTTGTAAGATTTGAAGGCTAATACAAGGAACTCACCAGAACAGCTGTTCCCAGCTGCAGCCCACCAGTGGGAGGTGGCAACCCTAAAGGCAACAGCCAGCAGGGCCAGAACCCCCTGACTCCAGGCTTTAAGGAGAGATGGCACTGGAAGTTTGCAGGGTGGAAGAGAGGGAGAGGCAGGACTGCAAGACAATTTGCTCTCCATGGCTCTTTTCCATACTTCCATCTCTTCCCACACCACTGAACTTCCTCTTGCAGTTCTGGGAAGGGTAAGCCAAGGGAAAAAGCTTTGTCCACTGTGTAGTACTCTTCTCCCACACCTCTTGCTAGTGGTATGCCATGCCACCTTTGGCAAAGAGGCAGCACTGGCCATTAGTTGTGCTGGAGAGAGACCAAGCTATGTCCTCCCTGCCATACCATTGTCACATACTATGTATTTCAGAAGCAAACACAGCAAGCACACATTTCATCTTCCCAGGTGAGAAGCTACACATGGAAACAGTACAGCTGTAAAACATGCAAGGTTTTACCTGCTCTAAAACCAGCATGGGGTTCTGCTGTATCTTCAGGCACTGCAAGCATGTCATCAGCAGCTCCCAGCATGGCAGCAAGAATCAGCTGGTGGTGTATGGTTGGTTACCTGTTGCGGGAACTCTCAATAGCTCTCAAGGCTGCTGTAAACAGGAATAGGTCCCAGAACCCCTATAGCAACAGTGCTAAGCCACCCTCCAAATCAGATTTTGTCTCTTCCGCTCACTTTTGCTACATCTAAGACACCTCAGAAAAGAATATACCACATGAATAATGCCTCTGCTTACCACCACGTCCCCCGTGATCCTTCACCTCTCCTCACAGCTCAGCCTGTGAGTTACTATTCTCAGCTGTATCAGACACCATCTGGTTATGAAAACACACTCTTTCCAGCAGCAAAGCCACATGCCTGTATGACTGACTCCTTTAACAACTGGTCTGGATTCTAAGACACAACACCTACCTACACCTGGACAGACAATATCAGTCAAGGGACCTGTTGAGTGAGTTGTCAAGAGACTTATCTTTGTCTCATGTTTGAGTTAGGAGGAATTAAAGTCTTCAAAGCAGAAACTGCAATAAAGCATTAGTCATTGATATGGAAAAACTTCCAACCTGTGCACTGCTTTCTCTGCCTGGCAGCTGAAAGATAAGAACTTTATTTTTGGCAGTCTGGATGACATCACTATTGGAAGAAATTATATTTATTCCTTGTTGTCCCTTCCTAGACCTGGTGGCTCTCACCTGTCTTGCAGGCAACCATTTCATTGTTGAGCTGTAGAGCTCTTTACAGAACAAGGCATCATTTACAGGTAGGTAAACTAAGGCACTTGATATGACCTGACATTTTAAATCCATGTATCAAGCCATAACCACTCAATTTCACTGTCTTCCTGAAAACTTGCCACAGGCACAACTGCTTTTCATAACCAGCCATTACTGGAAAGTGAAGAAAAGAGAAACAGAGCCAGACAGACACAGTTCCTTTTATTTGAGGATATTCTAAGCTATGCCAGACGGCTGTCCATAGCACTTCAAGTCATGACTGTAAGCAAATCCCACATCATACAGCCTGAAGTCCCCAGAGGAATTCCCATCACCCCGACACACTCAATTTCTAGCCCATAAACCCAACAGAATCTGAACAGCCCAGCTACCAGCAGATACCAGAGCTTTTCCTCCTATTTCTCTAGCTGCGGAAGCAGCCTGACTACTCCCCCTGGCAGCTGCACATGCACTTCAGACTTTGCAAGGTGACAGAGAAATCAACAGCA